GTCCTCCTCGGCCACCGAGTAACCACCTATAAAGAAATAATAATTAATTATCGATCACTACTTATTAAGCAACTACATACTATCATCGAAATAATACATAACTTTTCTTTGTACTATGAATCTAATGCGTTTTAAGGTATCTATCTATGCGGGTTGCGTACATTTAGTCACCGAATTTCGTCACAAACTGATTTAAAATTAGTCACAGCCCAGTCACCCATTGGCTATGATATGCAATCCCTTATCGCTAGTATCTTTTAAAGTGGATTTCGCTATAGAGTGATTACACCATGATTTTTTGTTACTACATATAATAAAATGCCTAAAATATTAATAAATAAAAATAGTTGACCCCTTATAAATGCAGTTATAATATGAAAATATAGAAACTTTAAGAAGAAATTCTAATTTAATTGTAAAACTTAAAAAAAATAAAACCTAAATTGCATAAATTATACTAATAAAGAAGGAATAACCATTCTGTATTATTATAATATTGTTTACAGAGTTCCAGATCTCCAGATACTTACTTGAGGAGACGCTGACCTGACTCGTGTCCGAGTTCTTGCGACTGTGCGTGGAGTGCGTGAGGGACTTGGCATCGCTCTCGATGAGCTTGTTGGCCGCCTCCAGTTTGGCTAGCAGATCCATCTGGGAGGTGGGCAGGTTCTCTTCGCCGGGAACTGAACCGCCCTTCACGTCCATTTTCGCTTGGCTCTCGGCTGTTGAGGTCAGGGTCATCTTCTGACGCAGAACAACGATATCCGATCTCAGTCTATACTCCCCTCAGAATCTTGAGTCCCTGGCTTCCCGTTTCTAGATCTCGATCGGTCCGATCTGTAGTGCTCCTGATTCGTGATGATCTAGTCCTTTGATGATCTTCTAAAACCGACACATGATGCTCCACCCAGTTTGCACACTGCAAATGAAAGAAAAATACCATCTATACAATTTTATCATCGACAAGTTTTGATGTTTTAGGGTTTTCCATAGACAGTCCTTAGTTTTTTGATGAGAGGAACCCCTTTTTATATGTGTATCTAGCTCTTCAGCGACTTTTCAATATTGCAGATAGTAGCTGGCGAAACTGAAGTTACCGGAATTCGAGGGCCCAGTGAAATGAACTCCTCTCGAGATCTGGCATGTGCCACATAATGGAAATACTACAAAATATATAAAACAAATAGACGCGAGTGCAAAGTATTCCAGTCTGTTTGCCAGCCTCTGTGTTTTTGTTTTTCTCTTGTTTTGTTTATTATTCGTGCGCCCTACAAAACTCGTACTTATAAAGGGGGTTAGACGGGGGACGGACCTGCAGCCGAACAATGGAAAAAGCTGCCAGGGCTTTCTGTTGATTGCCTCGGCGGCAATTTCTTCGGGGCGGGTATACTCAACCTTACCACGCAACTAGATCAAGTTTAACTTTCTTCTTTTTCACTCTCAGTACCCGAAAGAATATGCATCTAAACGTAGGTAATATGTAAGTGATCAAAGTTATAGAAGAATTAAAAAAGATTATTACATTTTTAATAAGGAACACTTTTTGAGCGGTTTTATATTTAAGTGATCCTATCCTAATTTATAAAAAGTTTTACAAAATGTTAGAGTACATTTATTTAAATATTTATTAAATAATTTAATAATATTATTATTGAGATTCTTTAAAAAATTTAATTCGCAAAAAATGTATTCTAGACACAACCAGTACAATGGAATACTGAGATCTTACTGTACTTAATAATTGAATATCATCACCAAAGAGAGCCCCACATTTTTATCAGAAATTTTTACTTCTCTAGCTCTCTTGGCAAAAGCAAAACAAATCCAAAGGAAGTTCAAATTTGTAAAAAACAAAGAAGCTATCAATTTAGAGAGGAAAAGATTGTCGAGAACGGGAAAAAACAATTAAAGACGCAAAACTGTTGATATTAGATTGGTAATAATTAAACGTTCAGTTCGTTTTTCACTCTCTTGTGGTAAGTTTCACGTTCCACATTGGGTTTTTATTTACCAAATATCAATCAGTTCGATTTTACTGCAGTAGAATACTTCGAATCGTTCTTATTTTAAAAGTAACAACAGAGCAACTACGCATTTATCGCTTTTCTGATAATCTGAAGTTCTTGCCGCAATACAACATTCCATTACCCGATTGTAAAAAACTGGAGTATCGTTTAGTTTTTATGCTACAACGAAGAGTATATTATATCAACTTTCATTGCATCAAGAGATATATAGTTTTGATAAAATAATATGCATAGCACAGCAAATGATCTTATCTTAAGGAATCAACTTTTAACTTTTAAGGATTTTGCTGATAAGAAAAGCTGTCATTTTTAAGAATACCACTTTCATTTATTAGATATTCCTTTTTGTATTTATTTAATAAGTATTTTAAGAACTTTTTTTATTTTCATAAAGTAAAAAGTCGAAATTATTAAAAATTGTAGCGTTCATGTTTCAATTTGAAATATTTACTGGAGACCACTTTTGCATCTTTAACTTTTTAATGGAAACACTTGTAGTCCATACCCTAGCGTTAACCCCCAACAAACCCCTCTAAAACAGCTGTCTATATCTGGAGGCACTCTGAGCCGCCTTCGGGTTGTGTCTGCTCCGTCTGGCCATTATCTAATGGATTCCTCTGGCCAGACAATGCCACACCCCTTCTGTGAGGCCCCTGGCCCCAGAAAGCTGCTCCTGCTTCAGTCGGTCTCAATACAATTGAAAGGCAAAGTAAATTCAAATAGATATGTAGGTCAGGAAACGATAAACAAGCCAGTGGAATATACGGCTTTTCGTGAGCAAGTGCATTCATATGGTGTGTACATATGTACGTATGGTATTTGTAAGGTGCAGTAACCACTTGAGTGGATCCCTTTACAAATGATAAATCAAAGTTTTAAAGACTAATGAACGAGTTTTAATTACCAAAGTGGGGGTGCTTGTGCTCTTGCCTCTGTGTCTGCATTCGTTTTTTTGGTCTGATTCACTTAGGTGCGAACGTACAAAAAAAAAACCTTCCACGAATCGTCAGAAAACGTTTTAAACCCATTAAAAATTCCATTTTGGCGTGTCTTCTTATACAAGGCGTATCTCTCAGTTTAACTACAGTAAAAAACAGGTGGGTAAGTCACTTGCGTCAGTATTCCTTGCAATCGATGGCCACTTAGGTGTGTTTAAGATAAAAATACAAAACAGACCTTTTTTTGTACTTATGAAAACAAAAACAAATTCAGGAACAGAAAAAATATTAAAATTTGTTTATCATTCTATAGGATTGTTAGAGGTGCGTTTGTTTTTCCCACAACACAAAATTGTGTAATATACGTATAGAAACAAACTATCATTCAGATTTTAAATTCATATTAATTTGTTATAAAAAATTTTGAAGAAGTTTAAGAGACAAAATTTATATATTTTATGGGCAACTAACATACAGTGGATAATGCTGTCTATAATAAATTCCGAGTATAATGTTTATTTATAATTTAATCCCACTTTCTGAGTGCGCACTGTACTTTGTATGTGTCCAGGAATGACCGTCCTCAATATCTCTACACCTTAACAATCTTATTTTTACTGATATCAACAAACGCGCAGTCCAAAAGCAAATAGAAAATATTAAAAAGTATAATTTGTGCACCTGCCAGAGGGAAATAAAAAACAAAATTCGATTACTCTGAAGAAATTTCGATTTGTTTACAGCAAGCCCTTAAAACCTTATCAAGCAAATCCAAAACTAACACCTGCCAAGCAATTCTGCTGAAATTGTTTTTAGGCCGTCTTAGTTAACAGCATTAAAGGTAAAAATGTGATTCGATGAGTCACCACAACTGGGCGCCAACTGTCATTAGGACACATGGTAAGCGATAAGATCTGGAGACCAACATGACGTATACGCAACAGGTACCGCAAACGAACCCTCCTACTGGTTATTACCCACTTATCCCACCATCCCGTCAAATGATCGATTAAAACAATAGACCACACACCAACGAGGGGGTTAAGTGGTGCTTTATTGTCTATGTAAGCAAACAAACAATTGCATTGTCGGTACATTGCCATCGCATGTAGCAGGTACAACTACAGTGGTCCTACACAATAAAATACTAATGGGTCAAATGGACCAATATAATAGTTTAATGGTCACAACCCATCGAATTGTCAATTTGACCAAAGAAATAGTTACTCCTTCCACAACAAAATGCACACAACTTACCATTTTATGGTAGTTCTACTATTAAATAGTAACCAAAGCAACAAAATGCGCGTCACTATTTTTAATAGTTCCTAACTTGTTTGTACAGTTAGGTTACTATACGTATTGGTAAATTTTACCCATACAATTTTTTTTGAGTATTCAAATTTTGAATTTTACAATAGGTTTCATGGTATTTTTTTTTTTGCATGAGAAGGGGCAATCCTTTTAACATTGGTTATGTAAATTAGCTTTCTTATTAAATATTAAAACCAAAGTTTGTAATTTAGTCAACATCTTTAAAAAATCGAAAAAAATGTGTTTTTAAATATATTGTAGTTCTTTAACGTTAATTCCGAAAAAGTATAAACTATCGACAGCTCACTGTACTCCAGTCAGAGTCAAAAATGCAGCATTCTCACATCGCGGAAGGCCATGCCAAAAAGCTCTCGTTCCAAAGTCAAAGGCAAATTGTTCAATTGCAGCAATACACTGAGAAAAGTCAGGACTCACAAGTAAATCGAATGAAAGCTAAGATAGAGATAGAAATGAAAACATAATAGTGGAGCAGCAAGAGCAGCAAAGATAGAGACATGGGCAAAAGGCAGCCAAAGGTAATATCTCATCGATACGATACGTGTTGATTAGATTTCGACACCACAAAAAGCAAACAAGTGTGTGGGGTGTGCTTTTGTGTATGTGAGAAAGTAAAAGCAAAGTCAAACCAAAAGCAAAAGCAAAAGCAAAGGCAGCAGTGCAATCGTAAAACCAAATCTCCATTGAAAATAAGGTTAGTTCACCCTCGCGATTCAGAGTTTCAGTACGAATTGTCGTGTCAAGCGCACAGGAAGCGATCGCAACCCGGATCGGATTGGATCGCATTGGATCGTATCATCGGATCGCATAGGAGCCCCATATGTACTATATACGTACTGCGCAGACTTTACGGTGAACAGCGTCGATCGCATGTGGACAAACAATTAAATGTAATGCCAAACAAAAATAGTAAATAGCGAATAGCCGCGCGAACAACAATCGGAAATGGCGAGCCGAGTTATCAACAAGAAATAACCCTTTACTGAATAATAAAAAACACCACGTAACACAAATAAATTTCTAAAACGCCACAAATAAATAATAGCATTCAAAATTATCTCTTTCAAACTAAAAAATATAAAAAAACACATGAAAAGTAACAAGTATGGCAAATATAATACGATGATAATATAAAAAAAAACAAATAAAACAATTTTAAACATTTAAAAAATAAATATTTACAACAAAATAACAAACAAATTCTAGATAGCGTCGGAATAAAAAGAAATATAGGATCCTTACTCATTATGTATGAGCAATAAACTGGAGATTATTACAGCGCTAACATTTTTATTTTGCTTGTTACTTCATCGTGTTATATTTAGTTCAAAATTGAGCGAAACAAAGAAAAACCTAAGACAAAGGAAAAATTCGGTATTACCAAACATTAAAATAAAGGAACTTAATCATGAACTGGTTTTCGTAAACCTACAGGAGTGAGGAATAAAAGAAAACATTTTATTTTCGTTTGTGTGTACTTTTTTTTAAACAATAAAGTGAAATCGTTTAACAAGCAATCGCGGAGCTTTTACATTTCGACACAAATACAAAGCAAGTAGAAATAATTGGGAAGAAAACCAGTTTTAAAACTCCAATTTGACATACAAAGATGGAAAAAAAATTAATAATAGTAAGAGCCAACGCATGATAAACACCAAAATAAACTAGTTTTCGGGCTGGCAAATATTATATGTATAATTTTTGCAACCGCTCTTCTATTTTTTTGCACCTCCTATAACCATTGTGTTTTTTGTTTTGTTTTTTTCCCCCATATACCATTTTTTGCATGTGAAGACAAGGTCACAGAAGCGCTAAAAAAAGAAGATATAAGGTCGGAAGATATAACAACAAACCAAGATGACGGCCAACACAGCCACGTCGGAGGAACATCTGCTGGGAAATGGTGGCCAGCCCCAGGAGCCCTCCACGCCCACCTCGGAAACGGAACCCACCGAACTGAGCGAGATCTTCTTCGTGGACAACAGTCGCCGCAAGCAGAGCATCAAGATCCAGGTGAAACTCTGTCCCGAGGGCGTTTACCTGCGCCGCGAGACCGACGAGGATGATCACATCAACGAGCAGCTGATCAGGATCGATGATATCATAGGCTCCCGCTACGGACCGCGTCTGAAGAAACGTGCCCGTGGCGGTCTTAACTCATGTCGGAACCCCAATGTCTCAGGCCAGGAGGCGGAACCCGAACCGGATAGCGATAATAGCGCCTACCTGTACATCTATGCCTATCTGAAGAAGGAGAAACCCCTGAGGCGGGTCCAAACTCTTAGGATTCTACGCTTTCGATCGAGCAATGACTATTCGGTCAATCTTCAGACCGCCGAACAATGGCATCATACGATTCGTAAGCATAAGCGTGGCAGTGGCAGTAGTTCCCCCGGTGATTCGGGCAAACAATTGCTCATCTTACTCAATCCCAAATCCGGTTCGGGCAAGGGTCGTGAGCTCTTCCAGAAACAGGTGGCACCCCTGCTGACGGAAGCGGAGGCCCAATACGATCTGCAGATCACCACACATCCGCAGTATGCCAAGGAGTTTGTGAGGACCAGGAAGGATCTGCTAGAGCGCTATTCTGGCATTGTGGTGGCCTCTGGCGATGGTTTGTTCTACGAAGTTCTCAATGGATTGATGGAACGCTTGGATTGGCGCAGGGCCTGCAGGGAGTTACCACTCGGCATCATACCCTGTGGCTCTGGAAATGGTTTGGCCAAGAGTGTGGCCCATCACTGCAACGAACCCTACGAACCCAAGCCCATTTTGCACGCCACTCTCACTTGCATAGCTGGTAAAAGTACACCCATGGATGTGGTCCGAGTGGAACTGGCTCCACGGGATAAGCACTTTGTGATGTACTCCTTTTTGTCAGTGGGTTGGGGTCTTATAGCCGATATCGATATAGAAAGTGAGCGCCTGAGATCGATAGGAGCGCAGAGATTCACACTTTGGGCCATCAAGAGATTGATTACGTTGAGAACCTACAAGGGCAGGGTGTCCTACCTATTGCCCAAGAACAAAAAGGATCAGGAACCACCCGTGGAGGCGGCCAAGGAGGCACGAGAGTTGGCCGTGGATGAGAAGAGCCCATCGGTGCGTTCTTCTCTGCCCATAAACGCTAGTGAATTTCGCGATTTACCCGAGGAAGATGAGGATGATCTTGAGGGAGAACAGTTTGCCGATGCCATATCCCTGGATCGTTCGGTCTATCGCCAACATGCGGACAGCTGGCACTCGGCCATGTCCCGGAGAACGGCCTACTACTCCCTCGGAGGACCCAGTCTGCACTCCAATCGCAGCCGGATGAGCCTGAGCCAGCGGATTGAGGCAGCCAATGCGGATTTCGCAGAGAAGGTGCCAACGGGCACGATTCCTGGTTTGCAGGTGCCACTTCAGGGCACCGAGAATTGGGTCTGCGAGGATGGGGACTTTGTGATGGTTCATGCCGCCTACACCACCCATCTCTCCTCCGACGTGTTCTTCGCCCCGGAATCCCGGCTAGACGATGGCCTCATCTACCTGGTGATCATCCGCAGTGGCGTGAGTCGCCATCAGCTGCTTAACTTCATGCTCAGCCTGAACACGGGCACCCATCTGCCCGAGGGAGAGGATCCCTTCATCAAGGTGGTGTCCTGCCGAGCATTCCGGATCGAGCCGAACACCTCCGATGGCATCCTGGTGGTCGACGGCGAACGGGTGGACTACGGACCCATTCAGGCGGAGGTGATGCCCGGCCTGATCAATGTGATGACCACCAGTGGTCAGTAGTAATAAGGATTTCAGAACTATCAGACAGGGAGAATTGGGTCGGACACCGTGAAATTACCTATTTGATAACTAACTACATTCAGTGAATGTCTCCATTCAATAGCTTCTTTAGGTCCTAACCAAATATATATATTTTATAAGAAGCCCTTTCACTGAATAAAATAATAATGCTTACAGAGAAAGGATAATGTAATCCCAGCTAGTATATATCTTGCCTGCATTCAAACTAAAAACAACTAATAATTGTTTATACTAACCGTCTTTGCTGTAAAAATACCATACATTTTGATAATAGTTAAGAATTAAGTTTGTTCAAAGTACACGTTTTGACATTATTAGGTACTAATCAGCAACATTTGTTATCTCTACTACTATTATTAGTCATACCCATTCTCATAGTTCTGAATCGCAATCTGTAATTTTTCCATCCGCCCATGTATCAAAAAAAAAACAACTTCATATTATACACTTAAGTAGTTGGCTAAGTTGGTTTCCATTCTTTTTTTTTTGTTTGTTAATCGGTCGATAGTGTTAATTATTTTAAGAACCATACATAGACGAATAAAACAAATAAACGTTATAAAAAAATTACCGAAGATTATGTGGGTACAAGTACCAACGGCATTTGGCAGGTGTTTTGTTGCCGTGGAAACGGTTTTCTCAACCAAAAGAAGCTTTGCAAATCCACAAACATATAGTAATAGGGGCAAATTCTTCGCTCGTCCGGTTGCATGCCGATCTTTATCGATATCAGCCCCCTAAACGGGGCCTTGAGGGGCCTCCGAAGCACCTACACGAAAGCAAATAGAAACGCACCTGGTCGATGTTCAAGTGGGGGCTTCATAACTGAGTTAATGCAAACACCGATTGGAAGATTAACCCTGAAAGCTCGCAAGGGATTACGGTTACCCAACAATATGGGAAATAGTACCTCAAAATCATATATATAATACTGAATGTCAATTTGGTTTGCGATGATAACACTAATCAACTGCAAGGTCATGGAGTTCGTAAGTTAATACGATGTTTGAAAGGTATAAAACATTTTTTTAAATTTTTTTGTAACCAAATTGCAGGAATGTAATGTAAGAAAGAGTGTAAATATATATCATTAAAAATATTTAATTAATAAACATAGTTTTATTACATTCGATGTTCCAAAAAACATTTTCTAAACTATTTTCCACAGTATATTGTAATTAACCAGCTCTTCATTTTTGTCTGTCGCCCACATCAGATGGGATTATCTTTGACAGGTACTCAAACAAGTTGAGGAAATAGAACTCTTTTATATAAATGACATTCGAAAATGCTAATAAAATCGAAGATAGAGCAAAGACCAAAAGGTAAAACTGATAGGCACTATTCCAGCGCGGTTTTATATTATTTAGTTCCTACCTGCCCATGTAGACCCGTCTGCTGTGGATCCACTGATAACGCCTTTTACCCCTTATCACGTCCACACACGTCAAGGTATCGGGTGGAAACAAATCCAAGGTATACTTTTAGGCCACGCTGGATACTGTGTATAGTTTACTAGTAAATTGGGGACATGCTGTCAAAAGTTTTCGTTGACGTCACATAAGTCGCACGAGAAATTCGACCTGATTTCGGGGTCTATGGAAATCGATAAGTAATTGTATTCAATTGACTGGCATTTCAAAGTCGTCATACTTTTGGGCTGCCCAATATTCGTGACAGTGCGATATCGCTAATTGGAATCCGGAAACGTTTAAGGGACTAAGGGATCCCAATCCAAATAATATTTTGTAGGATATTTTCGGTTTTAATTTTTAAACACCATCTTAAAATGGATTTCATAAAGAATTCGCTCAGATGATAAATAAGTTTGGATAGTTGGTTATTAAATTTTCTATTCATCTTTACCTACAGACTACTGTACTACAAGTTTGCATTTATATTTCTCTGGTGAATTGGCTATTCAGTAACATTGTTTCTCTGTTGCTATCAATTCAACGCAAAGATAATTGCGACAGCAGCAAATCAAGCGAAAATAATGCCAGCAGACAAGTGTATATATATGTATATATGTATATATAGCGAGGGAATAACGATAGCTAATTGTAGTCACAGTCTGTTAACAGATGTTAACACTCTGCTAGCGACGCTACAAATATAAATTAATGGATCTTAATAAGACAGAAAAGGCACTCTTTAAGTTTTCAACTTAAACGATCCAAACCACACATGACCGAGGGCAAAAAACATATATATTTTTTTCATTTTTTGCATGGTCTATGAGTTGGGCCCCTTAATTATTAACGCCCACTGTGGGTTCTAAGACCTCTCAAGTTTCTACAGCCTTAAGCTCGAGTGCAGGCATGGCACATAGTAATATATATATATATATACGTATGAATATAATACCAGGCTTTCGTATAGACTGAAGAACACTCACACACTCACTGGCAGATATTTCTGCACTATTTCCAGTCTAATTCATTCATAAAATGTTCTTTACATTTCGCCTTCTTCTTTGCTTGAAGTCGGTGGCTTTTATGAGAATCGTTAACTCGAAGCCGACTCATGGTTTTAGCATTATATATATGCACAACCGTTAGAAGTCGGCAAACCCACAGATGGAGAGGCAAACAAAAAATAAAAACACCATCACAGTTTCTTATTATATTCGGGGTATTTAAATCCAAACGTTCGCTTTGTCGCAGGTAAACGACTTCGATCACATTTAGTGACTCATGGCATTTTAAATGTGGTTTAAATATTACCAAAACTTGTTTTCCTCTCCCTTTCACTGTGAATTTTTAAAATATCTTTGGGGTTATTCTGTATATCTATGTGGTACACATTTCTTTTCTAATAAAATTATTTGAATTTTAAAATTTTATCCGAAATCAACGTGTCCTAAGTTCAAAACGAAATATATCATAATTAGGGAAGCCCCTTTAAAAATATATTTTAAGAACAGTTTTATGTATTGTTTAAAATTAGTATTTCCGATATATTTTTAGTATTTATTTCTAGTATTAAAAAAAGAGTATTTAGTATTCGTGAAAAATAATTTGCATATCTACTTTATTACAATGTTATTTTACTTTATCTCTGCGGTTTGCTTAAATAAAATTTCTGGCGCGACCACATTCCCATCTGTTCCACATACTTTTAGCGACAGTGTCGTGCGTGTGTGGCCAATTTAAGTGGACCCCACTGTACCGATTAGTCAGAAACCTGATGATGAATACCTTGGCTAATTTTTGACCCGCCCCTCCGTCTTTTCCCCTTCGATGGCAAATCACAATTTGCTCATTTGCTGTTTTCATTTCATTTCATTTCATTTGTTTTGTTTCCGATATTCGTTTGGTTTTTTTGCGGACAAAATGAATAATACATGGGTGACCGGGACGAAAGCATTTAGCGGAGTTCATTTGTTGTCTTGCTAATTTGCGCACGCACACACATCGCATATGCATTTGTATCTGCATCTGCATTTGCATTTGCATTTGCATTTTTTAATGCATCTCGAGTCACGCCCCCGAGCCATATGCCGCTTGGTACAGTCGCATCCATGGCTATGAGGCACATACTGCCATTTTGCAGATTAACCGGATCATTAATGGAGCGTGGAGGAGAAAAGCCACATACAAATGTATATTGGTTTGCCATTTATTGGCTCTTTTTTAATACATTTTATCTCTTCCAGGTTTTAAGATAAATACATAAAAAATAGAAAGATTTAATACCGTTTGTATTAAAAGTTTACCAGGAGCAGTAAAGAAGTTATAGTATAGACCAAATATAGATCTTTCCTTACAGTTTCATTTTTATATTATTTGGGTTTTTGGTATTATTTTTGCACCAATCAATTTCAATTGAATACTTCGGAAAGTATTAATCTACTCGTAGTACTCATACTTTTCCTACCCATTCGTTCTCCAAATTCTCAAAGGCTTATATTTTGTGTTATGAAATAATCCAGTGGGATGGCCAGAATCCTAATCACACATCCGACCCGTATGAGAATGTTCCCTAATATCACAGCCAGTCCTTGTGCTCCGCACATTGTCCCCAATGTAATTTAGGCCCAATCATCAAAAATTCACGAATGCCACGCCCACGCCCTCAACCCCGCCCACTGGAATACACAGATACACACGGATACATGTAGATAGAACCAAGCCCTGAGTTGGCCAACTCTCATTAACCCAATTTGAATTGTTTGCTCACTGGCTATCTCGCTCCGACGCACTTGCAATTGAGCCCTTGGCAATGAAGTGACGTCAGGAACAGTAGTCACTCGATATTGCAGAATTTCTAGATTGCATTTAAAATATTTAACTCGAAATATTCATTATAACTTTTCGAATACATAAATGAAATGCTTAAAACGTTTAGAAAAAAATTCATTAAATATTTTTCAGAAAAACATTCTAGGAATAAATATTTAAACTCTAAAAATAAATTTAAGAAAATTATAAACACATTCAAGAAATAGTTATAAAATATTTTTTTAAAATATATTTATAACAATTTCGCGAGGATGTAAGACTATGCATTTAGACATCTTTTATATTGAAACTATTTGGCAATTTTTACAACGCACTCCTAGCGAGTGACCACTGTAAATGTAATGGTAATTTCAAAATGCATTTACCTGTCTGCTTACCACAATTAGTGGTAATGGTAATGTAATTCTCAAGTGTCGTCCGAGCCCGAACTCAATTTCTATTTCCCATCCATTGCCACGAATCCCAGACAAGTGAAACAGGGGAACTGATAGGGTGCATTACCCATAATAATATTAATAACCAGAAGCAGGAAAGGCGAAATAGAACCCCAGGGGAGGAGTAAGACGTCCAGACGATAAGAATTCGACGATTTCTTCAATCAGTAAAAAGACGCACTCCGCTAGAGTAAAATTTTCGATTTGAGAACAATGAAACTTTATCGCACCAACTACATTTACAAATGGAGTCAAAGCAGTAAGATCGATTTTAGTTCACATGATAATATTTGATTAATTTTTGGAAATCAGCCACAGATGATATAATACCGAAAAATACTGGAAAAGGTGAAATTTACAATTTAATTTAAATTCTAAACTAATTTGCATAAAACCTTGTGAATTTTTTGGTAGAAAATATTACCCATTTTTTCAGATTAACACATTTCTTATATAATTTGAAACACTAACACATCCTACTATTTTAACAACTTTTGTAGTGCAAGAGATTGGATAAAACAGGCGGCACGATGAAATAGAGCCAAGCGAACTCGAAATATGAAACAAACGGAAAAAGCAGCCGCAAATGAAATTATGAAACACAATTCCCCTGAGTTTTTTAGCCACCCCACAAAAGCCCCTGCTGACTCCCAACTCATTAACATAATTTATTCACAAAATGCTGCTGTATGCTACTGTTGCACTCAGAAAAACGATTGGGATATGCTTAAGTAGCAATGTGGCAATAATATAAGTAATTTGTTGTGTTGCCTGTTTTTTATTTCAATACTTAATGAGATGATCATCATGGAAAGCATTGACCTTTAAGTTTAATCATTTTAATTAGCAAATGTCAAGTTCAATTCCATAAAGGATTTTTACGACACGTTTGAATATAGTTAATTTCAATTTAGCCAATACTTCTTGAATCTTTCTGGCGGTGTACTAGTGCCATTGTTGTTTCAGTTGCTATTGGCTGAAATAAACATATATTCCCAGTAGCATTCACAAGTGCTCCAATAAAAAGTGTTTTCAACGCAATATTTGAGGCGTTTTGGATTTCAACAGCAGCAAGAAACCGAAACCGAGACTGAAATTGAAATGGAAATGGAAACAGACGAAACTCCTTCAGTTCCGAGCAATAATAAATAACAAAAACGATATGTGTCTGCAATTGCTGTTGAATGACTGAAAATAAGTAAGCCAAAACTCCAACAAATCAGGAATGAAAACTGGCTAGAGAAAAAAAACCAACATACCAACCAGACATTGTGGTCGAAACTGTAAATTCATTGCTTCAAAACAGGAATTTAGCCGAATACAGTGTGTATGGAATAATGTTGAAATAAGTAGGGAAAGATAGCATATCTAATTTTATTGTTTAAACTTTTGAAAATATTAGACATTAGTACTTTAAGATCGATTGTAAATATGACAATAACAAAACAGTTATTATATAATTTATATTTTCAAAATAAATTTGAAATGCAATATTGAGTGATGTATTTCGAGTTATCGACTTGGAGAAAATTTTTTGAAATAATTAAGTTATCGAAAGTTGTATCGAAAATGTATTTCATCCAAAACTGGCTCAATTAACGGGCATTTACTGTGGACCGAAATACCAACACGTCTGGATGGAGATTGGCACACATTTCTGAATCGCCATTACCGCCTCCGTTGTTCCCTGATTTTCTACGCTTTGGGGCAGTCTCCAGGCCTCCAGTTGGCCAAGTGGCCACAATACCTTGGCTCTGACTGTGGATTGGATGCTGAGATACCGGGCCTCATTGTTGTTTGTTTCGATATTTCTTCGTTTTTTTTCGAAGTATTGACTGCATGCTTTTATGTTTGCCTGAATTTTACATAACGGCACGTTTGCGAAAACAAAGACGGCTGCGCAATCGCAAAAGACATCATGAGGTTGTCAATCTTTTTGAAAAACATGCATACATAGTTTAAGGGGAACCCACTGAAGCCCGATAAATTATAGGCTCTCTAATTACTGCTTTCGTTGAACCCAAAAAAAAGGGTCGAAACTCGATCATGAACTTGACTCCATTAATTATTACTTAATTTATGCACATGTACAAGAACAATTTGTTCATTTCTTTTTTCACAACATGTTACTATTTAGTTTGCAGTGCCCATTTCTCCAGTGATCTCTGTTATTTTCCAGTTGGCTTACTTAATTTCAGTTTAGTATGGTTGCGCGAAAACGTGTTGGCAAGCGCTTGTTATGATCCGTTAAAAAGATATGTATGTATATACGAAACGGCGATAGGGAAACAGACTCAAGTGCAAATTATTTTTGACATATATTTTTTTTTTTGCGGCTCTGCGACGAAGGTCAAAAGCTCGCGTTCGAAATGGAAAACATAATAACTATCAAACAGCCGCCAAAATATCATAAAACAATGCAAATAATGAAACATGGCGAAAACACTTGAGCAGATAGTTGAAAAACCCGCTAAAAGCAAAAAGAATTCCGATTGGAATGAACCGAAAAAAGTACATGGCATGGCTTTTGTTTTTTGGCCAGAGACGACAGAATGAAGGCTATCCTGCTCCAACCTTCCCCAGATAATGACAGATGATACACCCACACCCACGAGCTCTGCAAATTTATGATCATAATTAACATGACGATGACTTTCTGCTCCATGTGTTCCACTAGTTTTAATGCTCGTGATTTAAATGAAATTTGAATAAGCACGCAACCTCTCCCACAAAAAATAACAAAACTGGAGTACGATGTGTCTAGTACAGCAGAGGTCAAAGGTGTAGGACTTTATTATCAATCCAAAAATTATGAAATAATTTTTGTTTTATGAGGCTTAATGTAAATATTTAATGTGTCTATAATGATGCTGATAATGGATGACCCTAATCAGTAATTTTCTGCTTTAAGACATCTTTAAGATCTCAATTTATTTCAGAGAAAACTGCCAGAAACCACGAAAATGCACGTAGATTTAATCTACATGCGGATGAAAACCCAAAAACAAGCTTATCACAAACAAAAGTTCACTAATCTTTGAGCTACTTTCAAGGAAATCCGCTTGTATTTTAGTAATATATACATACCAAACTTGTTAATTATGCAAAATGTAAAATAAAATTGGCGCGAAGAAATACTCAACACGAAACCCTCTTGTTGGAATCATTACCCTTTATCTCAGGTAATATGAGAAATAATTTTCCTATTAACCCTTAATTCATCCGGTAAGCAGTATTATATTGTTTACCCTCACTGTTCGTTGCGTCTACGTGGGCCGTGTGCAAGGTGGCAACGCTGCGTGCAAGGTGTCGCCGAATTGGGAATGCGCAGGCGCAGAGCGGGTCAGAGCGAGATGGGGCGATGCACAGTGGGCAATGTAAAGTTTTTGTATATAAATTTAAAACATTTTAAGCGATATTTGGAAAAAGTATGTTTAGTTATTTGGTCATTCCTTATAACAAACTTGATCATTTTGATTATTATTATCAGGTCTTAACATTTATTGGTTCCCATTATATCTGAATAATTTTAATTAAATTATGCTTACTGATTATTTTAAACCAAGCTAACTAAACATGATTTGCAAAATCGAACTTTAAATACAATTTGGAGGTCATTTTTTGAAATTTGCTAGTTTAGTTTAGATTTTATTTTTCTCCAGCCGAATTTCACCCACTGTACGGTGGGCCCACGAAAAGTGGGTGGAAAGTAAAGGAAAGGAAAGCAAGACAAGGTTACAACGCAACACAAGCAGCTGATGAGGTGGGTGTGGAAGAGGTGTAGAAGGGAAGCGAAGGGAATGGGGATGGCGAGTAGAAGTGGAAGTGGAAGTGGGCAATGGGAATCGCAATAAGAATGGAAATGGAAAGAGGAAGGGCAGGACTGCCCCGTTATCATTGTTGTTGTTTCCCAACGAAGCTGCGGACCGATGAAACTATGATGAATGATGATGAATGGTGATGGACGATGGACAATGGACGCATTTAATTACATTAATGCACATAAAAGTTGTACCAATTTTTCTTTTGCTGCTTCGCTAATTTGAAAAAAAAAAACGAAAAAGACCACAACTCATACACAGACACACACACGCACGCAAAAACCCACATAGACAAGAAGCGAAAGAAAGTTTCTGTATTTTTTCTCACTCCAATTTTCGTTGATAATGTTTACATACACACGTAGTTTTCTACGGAAGAAGACGAACCGAACCACACATAAAATATAAATAAAGATGCTGATGCTGGAACGTACCTCTTCTTCTTCTTCTTCTTCTTCTGCCACTGTGAATAAACCGTTAGGCTGGAACGGGGGGTGGTGGTGGTTGTGGTGTTTGTGTGCTGCTGTTGCTGTTGCGGCAGCAACAAATTGCCGTTGTTTATCGTTTTTTTAGACACGTTTGCAATCAGCAAGACTCTTCCACATCCGATTAGATCAATGACTCGCGATCAACTCACATCCGATCGAGAATCGTTTAAAATACTCCAAAATTTTGACAACACCGAACTTTTTGCTGCTGTAAACGTCACACATACACACACGTACAGAAGCACACACCTCAGCAGCAGCAGTAATTTTCACCTCCCTCTCTTTCTCCCACACCACGGTTCTTTCTGACTTTATTTATTTATTTTATTTATTTTTAAGTACTTAAATTCAAGCACTTTTTATTCATCGGCCGAATATTGCACTGGAAAAAAATACAGCGTTCGATCGACGACGGTGAATTAACGAATGTTTTTTTTCGCCCACTCTGAGTGACCACCACGCGAAAGCTAAAATATACCAGATGAGGTGTTTTTGAAATACCGCCATATACCAGAAAATACCGTTCACGGTGGCAGCCCTTAGCGAGGACCCAAACCATTGGCACAGTGGGCCTACATATGATTGTTTGCCTTTTAAAAGTTTCTTAAATTGAAATAACTTAAAACTTCTCTTAGTTTTAAAGGGTTGTTAAGAATAAATGCAGACATTTCTTCTGTTTCTAATTCATATTTTATCCCATTTATAAAAATGTAATCCCACAATTCAGGGCTGCTGTAGGTGGCGCGAAATATAACCTAAAAAATGGCGGAGGCGGGGGTGTATACCGACGAATACCGCAATTACGCGGGTATTTTCATACGCGACGGTCACATCGGGTGATGGCGTCTTTAAAAGTCTAAAATTTATCAGCGATTTTGCTGAATGAAAACGCGATTTTAGAGAGCATCTGCAGATTTCCTGGACGAACTGTGTGCTAGGCGGGCGCCAGGAATTGTGCGTGGGAAAAGGAGACTTAAAACCGGGCTGAAACGCAGCCAATTCGCCAGATAAACGTGAGGGAAACGTGCGTTCCTGGTGGTTTTAATTTTTGTGGGAAAATCGCAACGGGCGGCATTCTGCTACAATGGACATTTTTGATATAGTAAAAGCGGCGCCGCCGCCGACAACGATAAATCCGGTTGATAGAAAGATCTCCACCCCCTCGCCGATACCGCCAGATTCTCCATACAACTCAGGTAAATCCTTTTTTTTGGCTTACCCAGTGTGTTTCGGTTTCCCCAACATTATAATCATTCCCCCCAAATTTGTTTGGTTTTTTTTTATTATATTATTTCAGACATCCTAGACGGCGGAAACCTTTCGAACGACGACGATTTGGACAAGGAGCCAACGCTCGACGAGTCGACCTTTAAAATAACCAGTAAGAATTCAGATGATATTGATCAGGAATTAGAGATATCTCCCTTCAAAATGCCGAAAGCTATAAAGAAATTTGGAGAAGATATTGTGGACTTGAAGGGTTCTTCCGATGAGGAGCAAGATGAAACTTCGTTCAAAAAACCGAAAAAGAGCGAGGAGTCCAATAAGGCCACTTCAAACAAGAAATCCGCTGCGTCCGCACAATTGTATCCATTGAAACCCCACAAGAAAAGACCCGCCGAGCCTCTGCCGGACGATGAGGACTCGGAGGAGGACCAGCAGATGACCACCATGCCCACCAAGACCAAGGCGCAGCAGAAAATGTTTAGCGACCAGCCGCCGGGCAAGATTAACTTCGATCGGCAGTGTGAGGTGCGAGTGCGTCGCTTGGCCCAGCATGAAATCGATTCGGCCTTCAAGTCAGTGGCCAATTCAACTTTTGCCCAGGAGACCGACTGGTCTCGCTCTCGTTCCCGCCCAGGCGGAAGTAAGGTGCGTGGCAGGCCCAGGAAGGGCAACCCATCGCCGCCCAAGAAACCAAAGTCGCCGCCCCAGACCAATTTTCACATCAAGGTTCCTCTGCAGAACGGCGCCAAGAAGCGGGCTCTCAATCAGTTGGCGCGCACACACACGCCCCCGCCAAATTTGACCAGAAGGGGGGCGATGAAGGCACAGTCCAAGTCGCCCGAAAAGCCCAAGCCGAAGTCCAAGTTGCTGAGCAAGCCGATTCGGGGCCGCAACGCCAGCCAGGAATTGATCAATCGTTTCGGTGCCCGTTTCTTTGGCTGCGTGGTCAAGATCAAGAGGACGCCCTGGCCCGAGCAGTGGCCGGAGTGCAGCCCACGCCCGATTGGCGGGTCCAGGAAGGGACGTAACCGGAAGTCCAATCTATCGGTGTCCTTCAGCGAGGCCGTCGAGATTCTGGGCAGCCCGGAGGGGCCATCGCGCCGGGCCACTTTCGGTTCGTTTTCATCGAGGTCGACGCCCAAGCCCACACGCCTGCAGCGCGTGGATGCCACCGGCAATGTGCTGGAGGACATAGCACTGACCTCCACGCCGCTCTTCTCGCCATCTGCCGGGCCATCCACTTCTGGAGGATCCCGTACGAAGGGAAAGCGCCGCTCCTGCAATGGATCACCAATGGGCGCGCGGCTTAAGCGCCCGCACCAGCGTCTACCGCTCTCCAGTTTGGCCAGCCTGCGATTGGACGACGGCCCGAATTCCGGCGAGGATGAGGAGTACATAGGTAGGTAGATGCAATAGGCAGTTTGACGAAAGAACATATGTATTTTCTTGATCTAAGTACATATAAGGAATAATGGTGAAGAGCTAAGAGTACTCATGAATTTTATGTATGGTGTGCTGTGGTCATTACTCATTTATGGTTGCATGTAAATTAATTTAAATCACTTCATCTATGTAACTATTGGTAATCACTGTTAACCATAAGCAAAAGCAAACATTTTTGTCACCCTAGACGAGCTATAAATAGTGCTCTATTTATCAGTTAGCTTATAGTTTTAAACTTTAAGTCAGATCCATACTAATACATACATAATTAACTATTGGTTATGAAATTCAAATAAATATTTTGTCAACTGCAAGCACTTTTTAAAAACACATTTGTCTCTTTTTTTGCACATGTAATTAATTTATAACACTTAATCTATGTAACTATTGGTTTTGGAACTCAAATAAATATTTTATTAACTGCAACTGCACTGCACTTCTTTAAAACACACATTTTTCTTGATTTCTGCACATATTCTAATACTATTTAAATATACTAAGTTTTATAAAAGCCAACCAAAGTGGGAGCATCGGCACTTTGTTAGTGTTATGGAGTTAAAAAAGAGATCATATACTATATATACTAAGAACTAACAAGAAGATGGCAAAAACTAATGCAATTCTCCCCTTTTCACAACCAGTGCCCAACGAGCTGCCGGGAATAAAGAGAACTGGAACGCCTCCTATCAAGAAAAAGAAAATATCCTTCACCACGACCATCAGTGACGATGAGGATGAAAAGCCGGCTCCAAAAAAGCTGAAGGATAATCTAAAAAAGCAGCCAAAACCCCACAAAGAGAGCGGTAACAAAAAGACGGATAAGGCCTCCAAGGATAAGGAAAAGGCTGACAAATCGCACAAGGAAAAGGAGAAAAAACAGGAAAAGAAGGATAAGAAAAATGAGATTGCAAAGGAAAAACTTACTCCAGCCACAGAAGTAAAAGCCGCCGAAAAACCGGAAATCAAGCCACCAGAAGAGGAAACGCCATCAAAAGAGCGCGAAAACAAAGCAGAGGAAGCTGCTACAAATGAATTAGAAAGAGACGGAGAAGCACAGGAAAAATCTGTAGATGCAGCAGAGGAAAATCAAGATGAAAGTGTTGAAGACAAAGCTGAAGAAAAAGTGGAAGACAAACTAGAGGAAAAAGTAGAAGACAAAGCGGAGGAAAATCCAGAAGTTGCTCAAGAAGAAGATCCGCAGGAGGACACCGAAATGGAATTAGGTGAAAACGCGGGGAATACTTCCGAAATTGTTCATGAATCTTCACAAAAGCCCACAGGCGAGGAAAACATTGAGGAGGATGTAGAGCAGGCTGATGAGTTTAGGGAATTGCCAACCCCGCCCCAGCTGCCGTCCACCACTGAGGAGAACCAAGACGACATTCTGGAGATCCAGACGTCCTTGGACGACGTCCGTCAGTTGCACACTCCCTCATCCCGCCTCAGTACACCCAAGCCGCGCAGCCGCCTTGACTCCGGCGAATCCGATTGCAGCTTCAAGTCCGCCAGCGATCACGATAAGCCGCCAGCTGTACCCCTAACAGAAGATGTCATCCAGGAGGAGGAAAATCCAGCGGGATCCGTTGAGGAACAACTAGCAGAACCCATGACAGATGATACCCTCGATCCCGCCGAGCTTCCCGCGGAGCTGATGACCCCGCCCTCGGCCCCTAGGACCACGAACGGCGGCGATCCCACCAGCGGATCCAGTGCGTCGGCGCCATACTACTCGCCCATTGACTCCATGCCCACGTTGGATGACGAGGTTCTTGGCCAGCTTGTCGGTAAGTGGGAGACCAGCTCCATGATCCGCTAAGCACAACCAATAATATCATATTTATTTGTAGATTACAAGTAGAGAAGCTTAAGTTTTCAAGTCTTACAGTACGTCAATTATCCTTTATCTTGGTGCATTGCGAAAAATTCCCCTATTATAGAAAACCCCATTTTAAATAGTGTAGAATCATTTCCTAATGATTTACACATTCCGTGAGTTGATTGCATCATGTATCGTACAGTCTTCATAAGAACAAGTACTTACAATGCCATTTTTCACTTTTTATCACACAAGGCAATTAAAATGAAGTATCATTAAATCGCAATGCTGCGTCGTTCGGCGGTAATGGAAAATCTTGTTGAAGAGTTACTTTACAACTAAATTTGGAACTAAAAAAATTGCTATAAATGCTATTTGGTTTAGGCATTTGTTATTTACATACCCATGTTTGGCATTTTATTGCGATTACTTACAAATGTTTTACCCTTTTTACTTACTCTGCCCTATGTCTTACTAACTAACGTACCCTTTAAACGTACCTTTTACTAATTAAATTGTGTGCTTTCGCCTTTCAGAACCGGACTTCCAGTTAAACTCCAGCCGCCATGCGATTTCCAGGGGAACACTGGACGACATAATGACTGCGTTAGAATCCTAGGAACCAGTCTAATTGCACACCAAGTACTAAAGTATATACGAACAACCATACACACACTCACCCCCCTCCCCCCACACACACACACACACACACAAAAAAAGGTGGATTTAGAACCGATTAGGTTTGAACTTAGTCAGGATTTTAAATATGTTCCCCTTATGATCAAGAAATAGTCGTATGTTTACTTTTAAAGACATCTTCATTTTGAACAGGTACTCAGATTTAAAATAATAATGTATTTTTTTGTAAGAGAAAGCTAATGATGCAAACTTGAATAATTTGCACTTAAATAAGTTGCTGATCTAGTCAGCTTACTGGACATAAAACAACACAACTCACTTACTCAATTTGCATACATATGTGCGCAAAGCAGTGGAAATAAATAAATTAGTACGAAAAATTAAAGAAAAAATTAGCAGGAAATCAGATAAATAATTTCTAATGTTTAAGTTGCTTAAACAGATCGTTATGTTAGTTATACGCTAAAGGAATACGTATTGTTCATTTCCCCCTTTTTTTGACAACGTAGATTTTATAAGAACTAAATTGCTTTCATGCACATTTATTCTATAATTAAATTTAAGTGTGGATCATCTTGAATTAAATGTAAATTCAATGTATTAATGAGCAAAATAATATGTATGTATTGTAAAAAGAAAAAAAACAAATGATAAAAATATGTATCAGGTTTTTATTTTGGGACTGGATTTTGAGTGTGCTTTTATTTTGAAGCTCTTCTGTGATCCTTTGACAGAAAGATCTCCATCCAATCGCCGATTTTGCAATATTCTCCATACAACTCAGGTATTTTGTTACTTTTGTGGCTTGCCAAGTGTTCTGTTTTCTTACGCACATTTTTGAATTTTTCGTTTTGATTTCGATAGTAGCCCTGCTTCAAAGTGGAAATCCATCGATAGGCGAAAAAGGAGCGACCCTACACGACTTCGGCCGGTCCAATGACAAGACAGAACTTGGACTTTTTCAGAAAGCCGAAAAACTGCGAAGACGAACTGCGAAATCACTTTGAGAAAAAAAGGTAACATGGATTTCCCGAAACCACAGCCGCCGCAGGGATTGAACTACTCGAATGTTGGCAAAGTGCGCGTGCGCCGCTTGTCCGAAATGTTAATTGATTCGGCCCTCAAACCCAAGGACAAGGAGCCCCAGGAAAACGAACAGGCCACCAATCCCATCAAGGTCAAGGCGTGCGAAGTGCGCGTGCGCCGCCTGAGCCAACTGCAAATTGATGCGGCCAACAAATTCCAGGCCAATTTACGCGCTATCCTTTTGGCCAACTCGCCTGCTACTCGCGCAGGAGGCAACAAGGGGCGTGGCGGGCCAAAGAAGAAAAATACATCGCTATCCAAGAAGCACAAGTGTAATTGTGTGATCAAGAGGAAGAGGGTGCCCTGGCCAGGCAAACGTCCCTTAGGCCTGTCGATAAGCATGAGCCAACTGAAAATTTATGCGGCCAACAAATTCCAGGCCAATTTACGCGCTATCCTTTTGGCCAACTCGCCTGCTACTCGCGCAGGAGGCAATAAGGGGCGTGGCGGTCCCAAGAAGAAAAATAGATCGCTATCCAAGAAGCACAAGTGTAATGGTGTGATCAAGAAGAAGAGGGTGCCCTGGCCAGGCATGCGTCCCTTTGGCCTGTCGGAGAAGTAACCAGCCGGAAATTTGAATTGTTCGCTATGTAATCTCGTGGTCCTGGTCCTCAATATCATCGCTGGATGCCTTAACAGCCCGCACGTCCGCAGCAAGTGAATGCAACCGGCCGGATCCCCAAAATTATACAAATCTTCAAAATTGTATTTAAATGTTAAACAATAAATTGTCATACTTCCGATTTTTACGAACAGAATTCAACGAGCTGGCTTTATTACAATAAATGTATAAATACATGGTTCAAGTAATTTTTGTATAGGATTGGTTTCCAAGTGCCCGTGTGTCCAGTGAATTTATTTAAGTATTCTATTAATCAATTTATTTCTAAATACATGATTAAAATAGACTGTACTTTTTTTTAAATACTGAGCACGTTGCCGTATTTTTTTTGTCTGCACGCCGTAACAAACAGAGTTGCCATATCGCTTGCAAGTGAAGTTTTGCCGCGTTGATTTACCCGCCATTTCAAACTTGAAACAGCATTCCTTTATATTTGTGTAAATATGGCTAAGATCTTTATTATTTTCAAGCACTCTTATACAATTATTTCTGATATATATCTGAATATTTTGTAATTTACTAGAAAGGGATGCACAAATATTGCTGTGACAACAAGAAGCTTATATGAAAACTTATTGTTTGATTCTGATAGTATTCTTTTATAATATTGGCCTAAATATTTATTAAATTTAATTTGGTTTAATGAGAAAATTATTGATTTAACAAATGTTTTTGATCCAATAAAAATTTCTTTGTATTTTTTTAAACATTCAGGGCAATTTTATATATTAAATCATGTTTCGGTTGCCAATAAATCGATAAAAATAAATCCAGTCAGCCACAAATAAAGCTATTTTCTCTCTACTTTTCGTATTTAATTATATTTCACATTTCCCGCAACGTTGCCACATGTTTGGGCCCAAAGTTGCCCCCCTTTTTTGGGGAAGCCCGTGTATCCAGTTCAGCGCGAAAACACAACAGTCGCAACTTTGACTTGTTGACGGTTGGTTCTCTTCGGTTTTCCGGGCCTGCGTCGATTTCCAGAGTTTTTGGCGCGAGTGCGAGAAAATTCGAAAATTGCCCGTTTGCGTGAGTGCCCCTAAAAAAAATGCTGGACTCACAGGACCGAAGAGGGCTGTGCCCCTAGAAGGATACAAATAAATATATATTTATCAGTATAGCCATTAAAACCAAAAAAATTAAATGATTGCAAAATAATTGAGGGATAGAGAAAAGTCGCGGAGATGCCGATCAAAAAGGTGGCGGTGAAGGAGTACGATTCGCAGGATGAGGCCAGCACCGAGTTGCTGGAGAAGCTGAAGCACCTGGACCGCCGTGTGGACGCCGCCGAGGGCGGGGGCGTGGCCAAGGGGGCGGCCGGCGGTAGGAGGAGCACCGCCTGCTGGCAGTCGGTGAAGTGGAAGTCGGCCCTCAATCACATAGGACTGCTCGTCTCGCTGTCCATCTACTGCGGCGTGGGCGGATTGGTAAGAGAACGTGAACGTGTGCTCCACGTCCCCACCAGACTCGCATATAACTAAACAAATATTTAATTATTTTCGATGTATTTTTTTTTTTTAGTTTTTTTTTTTTTGGTTTTCGCCTTTTGCGGCCGCCGCGAACATGCAAAATGATTTGTGTTGGGCCAAAAGCCGAAAACGGCGAGCGTTAAAATTGTTTGGAGCAAGAACGAAAAGCAAAACACATAAATACAGTAAGCAATCGAAGAAGGCGATTAATTAGGGTTTAATCTATTCGAAATCTGAAGGTTACTACTAAAAAAAAAATATTTTGGTATCTAAAAAAATTCTTAAGGAATATATGAGTGGCTTTGAATTCATTCAATCCTTAATTTCGTAACCGAAACAGTGTTTTTGAAGCATTTATTTGAAAAGAGTGAAACAACGGCTTAACATAAACTTTCTTTTAATGTTTTTTGAATTTAAAATTTATTATCACTTATTAAAAAATTTAAATAAAAATGGTTTCTTGTGCAAACTTAATTTATATAAAAAACAATTCATTTTTTTTACTGTAAATCAAAGTGAAAAATATTTTAGTAATAATAATAATAATATAAAAAATATTAATTAAAATGAAACAAACTCCTTGAATTTTTACCAGTTAGTTTTATTATTATTATGAAACATTTAAAAACCAACTCAACTTATTCCAACTTAGTTCAAAACAAAACACTACTCTTTTGAAACATTACTAATTCAAGAAATTTTATTCTAGCAGTTCAGTGTGACACTTTTTTATTATAATTTTATTGTTTTACAGTCAATATATATTAGTTAAAAATTCAATGACCAAGATTTTTATTTTTAATAAATTTCAAATAAATGCAAAATTTACTCATTTTAACTTTAATGATATATTATTTCCCGCTACGACCGTTTACTGTACCAATATGAATAAAAACAATAACCCAAACAGAGCCAAAATTTATTGCAGTGGAAATACTAAAAATTATCCCAAAATTAAGTCATAAAACTATTTTGTACATTTAAGTGCCCCGCCTCCCCTAATTGCCTCTGGATATCCAGACAGCCAAATCTGTCTGGTTTTCGGAGCAGGAGGAACTGCATCGGGCCGACCACGTCCAGGCCTTTTGGCCTTGTCTAAACATTTACATTTTCGCCAATGACGTCGTGGTTTTAGCTTTTGGCCAAGCAAAAAAAAAAAAAAAAATAAGAGTATTTTCAAATTGATGCCGTCAGTTGTCCATGACTGCAAAATAGCTGCAGTTAATCGGGGGAAATATCGGGGGAGGCCAGAGTAGAGCCCTAATTGTTGTGTCCCACGACTTGACATATGGCCGAGTGTCGTGCCGGGAAGGTATTTGTTATACTGCCTCTCAATTTCCTCGGGCACCGACAATTACGGGCTGGGAAATGGATAGGATATGGTGTGGGTGTTGACCAAAATGGGCTGAATGGATGGATGTCGAAGCTTATCGAGGATGTATGATGTATGCGCTAGGATATCGCGGTTGAAGGCATCTTAAGCAGGCTGTTTGTTTTGTGGCATTGAAAATGAATTCTTGTTAAGGAACTTTGATAAGAAAAGGGGTTCGTCTTTGTAACGTATAAACACATCCCGGAATATTATTCCTATACAATGTTTTGTTCAGAATTCGATATAAAATGAAAATCAATTTTAAGGAATCGCAGATTTAACATTTCGTTACGAATTTAATATAAAATATGATTTTAAAAATGTATTTCCCAGGAATCGAATTTTTTTTGTTATTTATTTTTATTATTTAAGGGTTATTTTGTCTTTCTAACTTATAAACATATTTCCAAATATTTCAGGAAATGCTATTAAATGTTTCCATCCGAACTCGATCTAAAATTATGATTTAGTTTTTTAAAGATTATTAAATAATTTCTTTAAAATATAGCAAATGGTCTATGCAAATTGTCGGAATCATGGGCAAATTGACTCTATTTATATGTACTTTCATTGACTGCCTTGGCAACCAAATGATTCATGGTGCCTTGAATTCTTGAACATTTCTGTGCTATATCAAATGAGGTTCCCCTTCGGTTCCCGATAGACCCTGTATCATACCAGCGCTATCAACACCTCGATGAAATATCTGGCGATTTGCGCAGATTTCTGGCAACAAAAGCCATGCATTAATCAGGCAACACATTCGCATTCATATGGATTGTCGAGGAATCCCAGTACTCCCCGAATTTTCCGCCGGGGAGGGACCCTTCAATCTCCGGGCCACACACAACACCACATGTTGGCCAATTATGCGCACTTCTCACTTAAATGGCTCATCAAATTTATTTCAAATTCACATGGGGAATAGCATTTGTTTTATGTTCCGATTTGCCTTGATCTTTTTTCTCACTTTTAATAAACTTAAGAAAAATGAATACTAAAGCGTTTATACAAACTTTAAAAAAATGTAGTCATGAACTTCTTTAATTTTTAAATCAATATAAATAAATATCCTTAAAAATGTAGAAAATTTATTTGCCACCTTAAAAGTCACCCAAACTCTCAGTATGATTCGATTTGCAATTTACTTTGCATTGAAAAAGTCCCAGTTAAAAGGAAATGAATCCTGGGACGTGAGCGGAACTGTCCACATCAGCATATCACATGACATTCAAGTTTTCTCACAGTTTTTCCTTCAATTTTTTGTAGCCGGAAATCCGTTTGAGTCACTTGACCAGCGACAAAAACTTTTGACCCCAACTGTGTTCTTCTCCAGAGATTAGTTTACAGAAAAGATATCTGCTCTATAAATAACCTTGAATTATGATCTAGGGATTTCTGGATACAAAAAAAACACTTTTAACATTTAAGGATTTCATTTTAATTGAAAAACTTTAAGTCTGCTATCAAATTTAAACAAATCTACAGAACTACTATAATAAAATAGAGTTTAAAATTTTATACTAAGCTCATGGCGTCATCTTGTTGGTGCTCTCCTTTTTCTAAAGTATTTTTTTCGAAAGATAAGCTGCTTTAAAGCGAAATCACTTTTTAGTGGTCGACAATATAAAGTTTTAATTGGTTTTGTTGACGAGCTGGCCAGGAAGCAATTGGCATTTATCTATTTTATGGTTTTGTTTCCGTTCTGCTCCTTGAACCCCTAATAACACGAGCAAGTCTATTTATTAATTAAGCCAAATTCCCGGGAGGGAAACTCGAATTACCAGCAAACAGCCTCCTTTCACATATGGCAAAAAATGTGGATGAGTGGACATAAATCATTTTAATTAGCATTTTGTAGCATACTTGAAGGCGTCGTCGATTCGTTATACGTGTGTGTGTGAGCTTTCTCCCTTCCAGTGTGTGTGTGTGTGAAAAATTTCACTTTGTCAAAAGTTGTCCAGCGGAAAAAGTTAGAGGGCAAGTGAATTAAGTTGCTGGCCAGAATAACGCACAACAACAAAATGGCCAATTAGACTGGAGTCAACCCAGCCCACTTCCCTGGCTTTATCCCCTTTCTATACACTATATGCATACAGTCGCAGTCAATAAAATAGTATTTCCTACTTTTTAATACAGAATATTTAACAAGAACTATAAATTGAATACTCCAAAATAGAATAGTAGTTATTTTATAAAAACTTTTAATTTTCTAGATATAGTATTTTAAGGTATATTCTCCTATAATAGATTAATAAAATATAGTATATTTTATTTAGTAAAACTGTGTGAAAAATGGGAATATAAATCAAGCTTTAAAGTTATTGGAAAAATATGTAACATATATTCTTTTAGACTCTGATCAATAGATAAAGATCTATAAAATAAACTTTTTAAATACTTGTTTTAGTATATAATACTGAAATTAGTATTTTCATAAGAAAGGGCGCTGGAAACTAGATCCTCAGATCCGTTAAAAACTATTAATTTATAATATATTTTTAATCCAATTTCATATTTTAAATTGTGTTATATTTTATTTTATTTATTATTTGGTATTTTGTACCAAGTACACCTATTTCGACCTCAGTTGTATTGTTTTCTCTGTGAATTTGCTCATGTGTGTGCCGGTGTTATCTGATTAACTGACTCGTCCAAGCCTGCCCAGACATGATTTTTCATATCGAGGCCAATTTGCTTCTTGGCCCTGAACGGAGTCCAAAACCAAAGTCAGGAAATAGGCTCGGCCAAATAGGCGCTTTTCCGCATTTCCACCGCGGATGTTTGCACCAGGAAGACAAAGAAGAGCGAAAGGGAAAACTGGAGGGGGAAAAACATTGGGGAACGCTGGAAAATCACGTCAGGTTCACATTAGGACAATATTTTGACATTTTTCATTACCCTTGGCTCTTAAAGAGTGATAGAATGGTTTTAACTTTAAGTTAGGCAGGTAGCACAGATAATATTTCACAATTTCCAAAATAAACTTATCATTATTTGAAAGGTAATGTAGATTCCAATATATGGTATACTATAAGGTTTATAAAAACTTTATTAATACCAATACTTGGTTTAGATTTTAAAAATTACAATACCAATGTTTTCCATTGCTATGATATCACAATCATTTCAGTTCATTTCTTTAGCAATGTATCATTTACTTTCGATGGTGTCCCATTTATTCGATGGTTCACCATACCACAGCTGATGAAATACCCCGAGTCCATTTGATTTTGGTTTGCTAATGAAACCATTATGCTCCATCGCCCCCAGCTATGCAACAGCACTTGCAAATTCCAATCATGTATCCCAGATTCCCCACCCCAAAAAACCCAAATACAAATCCAAACATTCCCGAAATTACCGAACAATGACAAGCCAAGCGATTCGAAGCGAGACAAAGATACATTCGCTACAAGATGGGGCAAAAACAAAACCCGAAAGTGTTTAAGTGTATTAGGACCAAGTTCCTGGACCACGCATGAGGCATACAAATCGAGATTCAATTTACAGGCCAAAAAAGGGACAGAGATCAAATAGATTGCAAATCATAAAGTCACTTTCAGAGAGTGAAAAGTGGAAACCT